TGTTTTTAAAAACTAATTTAAAAACAACAGAAACAAATAACTAAAAAAAAACATGAAACACTAAAACAGGAGCCGAGTCTCATGCAGGGTTGAAAGCCAATGAATAAAAATGGGTTTCGAGACGAGTTTTAAAAATGGACAGTGTGGGGGCTTGTCTGATTTGGAGGAGTTTTGATTTGAATAGAAATGCCTGATTGATGTAACAATCTGAAGTGTTGTCATATGTTTACATATGGTCTATTTAGAAAATGTCTTAAAAGGCTACCTTTATTTTGTTGAGAGATTAACACATATTCTTCAGTTTCAGACACTTTTTATGGGGTTGTGGGACAAAAAATTGCTTCTTCTTTTTCAGATTATGCAAGGTTCCTCAAGAGCAACAGATAATATGACAGCTGAGTGCTAATGCCTACAACTAGCAGATTAAGCCTAATGCAAAATCGAGGAAATGTGCCTCTTTGCTCTGCCAATGTGTGCCAGCAGTCTGTATTTTTACAGATTCATTCAGACAGACAAGCCTCTGACTTTAAAGGCTCTAAGGAGAGAAAGGGAGATTGACAAGAATGACAGGAAAAGATAAAGGAGAGAAAAAAAGAGGGAGAGGAGTGGACACTAAAGGCAGCTGTCAGTCATCGTCAAGTATGTGGTCCAGGTGTGTGACAGAGCAATTATACTCCGGCCATCACCTGAGCTGTCACAGCTGCTGCATGAGTTGCATTACATTCAATCACCATAGGGCAGTTTGAACATTAGAGGTGTTTTATGCTCTTTATTATAGATTATTTCTGTCTTTCACTTTGCAGTCCCTACATACCAGACTTTGAGAGTTTACTTATGGTGACTTACTTATGTGTCAAAAGCTGTTTCAAGGATCATTATGTTCGAAATAATTGACACTTTCCTTCCTTTCTATCAGCTTGGCTCCGAAGCAGTTTTATTGATTGACACTAAACCCAAAGAGACCCAAAAGTCAGACACAAATGGAGGGAAAGTGTTCATACTCAGTGAAGTATCTTCAGTATACTTAAGTCGACTCTCTCCTGCTCCTCTCTAGCTTTCACTTAACACTTCCCCTCTCTTCCTTTCTTCTTCTCTCTGGCTGTTTCTGGGAACTGAATTAAAAATTTCGTACATCAACCTGTTTCTGAGCACACAATGCATAGTGGCTGCACGCCAGGTTTCATTACATGAATAAGTCATTTTGCCATCATTCATTATTGATATAATCATGATTCTAGCACAGTTTTCTAATGCAAAAAAAAAAACAAACACTAATGCAAAAATCTTCCTGCAGTACGAAAATTGATGTTTTAGTTATAAATGGTCTTATCAGGATTTGTAAACACATATCTTCCCAAGAACATGCACAGTCCAACCGAGATAATTCTTTGGTTGTTATTCTTCACTTGATTTCCTTTTAATTAATCTACAAAATGACAGATTTATGCCTTGGATGTAGAAAATTAAAACATCAAACAGACCACCTAATCCTGCGGTTTTGCGGGGAGGCTCTATTTAAACAATGGCACAAAAAGGAAGCAGGATAAGGACTGACACATCTGATAAATAATAGAAGCAGGCAGGGGAGAGGACTGATTGGAGGCACTGTATCGGGGAAATAGGATGACATTATCAGCCCGCTCGTATGCTGTTTGGAGCTGCAATTGTTTATCAAAGATGAAAGCAACTCATTTGCTGGTTTGCAGAGTGAAGCAGACTCGTAATGTGATCATATATATGAGCAAACCTATAGAGTATATTGTCAATTTATCTCTGCTGATATGGAGGATAAATGTTAGGAGATGTATCTTAGTGGTAATATTATGTGTTGTTGTGTTTAGATAGATCCATCCGCTTCCTGTCTTCTAATCTGTAATCCCTCGCACAGCTGGAGCACTGTGTGTGTGTGTGTGTGTGTGTGTGTGTGTGTGTGTGTGTGTGTGTGTGTGTGTGTGTGTGTGTGTGTGTGTGTGTGTGTGTGTGTGTGTGTGTGTGTGTGTGTGTGTGTGTCTGAGAACTGCATCCTCATCCGGATATGGGCCTCTGTTGTTGACACTGTGTACAACTGAGGGTGTTTTCATATGAGTATTTTTCTAAGTGCTGTGTTCTTCTATGAAGATGTTATCATTTTCAGCCCTGAGCAAAATTAATCAATTATTAATCATTGGGTCATATTAAACAAGATTACTATCCAAGGATTATTTGGATGATGGCTTATTTTATTAAGAAAAACAGCCATGGCTGCTGAAGGCCACTCTGTCCCATGGGGTTAGTCAATCCTCCAGGCAGCTGAACACCTTGATGGAGACATTCGTTTTTGTGTGTTGCATGTTAAAACAGTGCTACATAAATTGGACTTAATTAGCAGTTTATTGTGTAAGAAATGGGGAAAAGTAACAGAAATACAGTTTTTTGTATGTTTCGGCTGATTTATCTTTGTACCCAAAATAAAGTTGCCAATGTGTTGCCGTGTGCAGCCATAAATTGTGTAATTGTTGAGATATTGGTGGATGAATAACCATTTTTACCCAAACAAGAGCTTTACAATACTTGGACTTAAATACTATCACTATATGTAGATAATACAGTAGTGTTATTTTAAATAATGTATATGTTTACTATGTCCTTAGTCAGTAGATTGAGACATTAATAATTATTTTATTTTCATTTTTAACATCGACCATTCAGTTTTTTCCCTCTTTAGTTCATATCTATGAACACTACAGTGCTAATGTCACCCTTGAATGCTTATCTACAGCAATCATAACAGCATGGTAATGATGAGCTCAATATACATAAATAGTTATCAAAAATCCCTGGCATATGTTTTGTTTTCATTGAGAGGACCAGAAAGGACTGAAATCTCAGTGCTGGACTGTCAAAGATTCATTATCAATAACGATTCTCCCAAGCGTGTGTCTAATTTGTCAGTCAGATTACCTGTAATACATCCCTGGACTTTGCTGAATTAGTTTAGGGAGCTGCTGGTGTTAATTTTGTCACTTATCTGTGACAAATGTGCTGCAGGTACAAAATCTCACAGCCTGAGCATCTTTCTCATTTTTATTGAGGACTTTATTCCTGGGTTTCAGCAGTGACTAACTACAGCCACCTCAGTTTGGTGAGTTACATTTGACAATGTTTGGCACTGTTAAATAGCTCAGTGTCATGCTTCAACTGATCCAAATTTAGTTAAATGTTGTGAATATATTTGGCATCACATTTTTCAGCTTAGATCAACACCGTCCCATGAAAGATGACAACTCAGTTAAGGGTGCAATGAACCTAACGCCTGTCCTGCACTCCTGTCACGACAGGCGCAGTCAAAATAAGAGTTTGGAAACACATACAGTACGAGTGTTCATGTGCTTTTATTTGAAATCAATGAGACTAAACATAGCTGTAGTGGAAAAAGAGAGAATCATTCATTCTTGACATGTTCCTCTTTAAAAGCACCTTAGGATGCACTTTCCTTACCATCGTAGATCTGTACAGACAGCAAAGCAGCAGTGCATCAGTGATAGAGTCTAGGCTGAGTTATCCGACTAAGATAAGAAATCCATGTACTAAAATGTTGAATTCAGAATTGGCTATTACCAAAATGTGACTAAACTGGTTAATATTATTGTTTAAAGGCTGAGACAAACATCTAATCTAAAATAGCTGCAAAATAAACACTGCTTTACTCCTTTAGTATAACTCTCAAAAGTGGATTTTTTTTCCTACTTAATGCTGACAGTCGAGGCATTTAAAGCTCTTTGCATTGATTCCAGTCCATTACACAGCCAGTGAAAATCTCAATGCAATAGCTGTTAAGTTACTTTAATAAAAAGCATGTAAGATCATGTCACTAAAACAGTTTTTGACCTTAAATGAATGACTCCATCAAATGCTGGAAACCAACTATAAGTTTAAAAAGTGTTTTTATGTATAAGAGAAAGTGTGTCAGAGACGGCTTATACATTTCCAACTGTGTGTTTGCATCTGTATGTGTGTGTGCCTGCAGCATTAGTGTGTTAGCATAAGCGTTCTTAAGTGCACTGAACACAAATGTGTGAGAACGACCTCAGACATAACATCACTGTCAGCACATGTGTCCAGATCACTGTGTGCCCTTGTGTATGTATTTATACACACATACACAACACACATGTGGATTATCACAAACACACTGTCTGTCACTGCAGGGCTGTCTGTGTCGTGCTAGAAGGCTTGGCTCCTAGACAGAGGCTTTTAGCGGCCATAACAGAAACATTTATCCACATTGAACGCTCTTTTACAAACATCTTTGCACTTTTCTAATCTATCTGGTCATTTCTAGTTTATTAGATTCATTAATGTTTCTTGCATGTGGCAGATACTCTGTTCAATCTCTGCTAAGTGTTCGACAATGGACTCTTATAAAAAATAATGCATTGTGTTTGCTGCTTTGATGCACTGAGAGTTTGTTTATGTGAGTGTCTTTCATCTGCTGTACTTTGCATTCTGTTTTCTTACTCAAAGGGAAAGCTAAGTTTGTTTTAAGTGGGTTGAATGAAGTACTTATCAACAGTAAAAGTATAAGCCACAAGGGAAGATGCTCAGCTTGGCTCCTTGGTTGAGAAACCAGCCAAAGAACCAGAACTAAATCCACTATATAATTTGGCCTATTTAAAAGAAGCCCATCGGAAGTACCCTGATGATTATATACACCTCTACAAAGATGCAGATTAATAAAAAGACTTAATTTCATGTTGTTTTGGGGGAACAGCATGTCTCACTGGTTGAGTCAGATGTTTCCCAAGATACTGACCCCTCAATTCCCCCCTGTCAATAGGATCTGCAATGTTTCCCACACATAGACAATACTTGTGTGTGCACTTTTTGCCAACTTAATGTGAAGATTTTTAAATTTTATTTCAATATTACCTCTTGTATCATCATCTAAGAATAGGTAACCTGTGTGCGCTTGCGCTTCACCCCTCACACACTTTTATGGATGGCGTCTGTATTCTCCACTGTTGGAGCTACTGTGAGTTTTTTGAAACAGACTGAAATTCCTACTTAGGAAGCAAACAACACCGTTAGTGAGAAGATTGGCAATTTTCATATTGTGGTTTGAATTCCTGGATACATTGTCTGTGTAGTATATTCACAATAATGATATATTTGACTGACAGCAGGATGAGAAATGTTTGTCAAAAAAACATTTCTCATACTGCACGACTCAAATATGTGAAGGACAAGATACACAAGAAACACCTCAATTTGCACAAACCCAAAGTGCCTCACAGGAACTCTGAATTCATTAATTGCAGAACTGTATTTCCCATTAAGTATAAACCTACAGCTTGTTACTGTCACAGCTATTTTTCACTCTTGGCAGACAAATGTAAGCAAGCAGAGAGAGAAAGAGGTGTTACTGTGAGTGACAATCAGATTAGCGCATCGAATGCCACAGTAAGTGATCTCAGCTAGCAGCACAGCAGCTCTCTCCTCTTGTGGGCGCAGAGGTTAACCAATGTGACGACTGTGTCTCAACTTCTCTATTAACAAAAATCAAGATGATAAAGCTATTTTTGTAACTATATTAATACATGTCAAAGATAAAGATCCTTGTATAGCTACAGCTTTAAGGACCCACCCCAGTGAAAATCATGTTTTTTTCCTGTTGTCTACATGTTCATATAGCATTTTTCTGATGCTACTGGGCATATCATGAGAAAAAAACAAGTGCAGTTCTGAGTATTTCTGCATTCAAATCGCTGTGAATCTCTGACAGACCCAAACGGCAGGGTCACATACAGTAAGATTACCTACGTAGCAAATCCGAGCTCCGCCCCGAGAGCCCTGCTATGCAGGTCACACTCAGAGAAATAGACAGGACAATCACAGAAGAAGCATAAATGGTAAAGAATTGCAATGCTAGTAAGAAAGCTAATTATGAAATTAGCTTTTATAATGCTGCAGACATTAGTGTGTCACAATTGAAAGACCACTGAGAACATTTTAAGTAATAAAGAACCGATCGTAGTGGGACTTTGAGAATTCTCCTGGGCTTCAACAATGCAGAAATGCATGAACTGTTGGTTGATGTATCTAGATAATTACATTGTTCACTGGAACACTGAAGGATATTTCAAAATTTGAAACAAAAGAGGACACAGAATCAGATTATTATCATAAAATGGTGCAACTTTGATATGCTTGTTTGTCAAATGGAGGTAAGACCAATTATCTAACACTTCTTTGATTTCCCTGAAACTCTATCGTGAAAATTTGTTGCTGTGTTGAATCTGTAAACAGAGATAACTTAGTCTTGGACAAACAAAGTGCTGTAGTCAAAGCCAATGCATTTAACAACATTAAAAAAACATTTCCCCCCTTAGATTTAAAAAAAAAAAAGTTTTTCGTTCCTCGAGTGATCTCAGAAGATTAGCCCCAGCATCTTTATCTCACTCTCACCATAATTACCTCACACCAGTTACACTGATGTGTTCAGTCACTCGAGTGGCTCTGGTGATGAAACAGTGGAGAGGACACCAACAGAAAGAGAGAGATGAGTGGAAGTTTGTGTGCTCCAGGATCCGTATGGCTGTGTTTTTATATCCTCTTGGTTGGATTGCAAAGCTGAGCAGCGAGCAGATGGGTTTATAATGAGGAAACAGAAATATTCTGATAATGATGACCAGATAATTACACTCAATCTGAAGGATGGGTGGTGGAGGTGGGGGTTGGCGGTGGTGTCGCAGGATTTAACAAGAGAATAAAATGGATTAAAAGAGAGATAAGAGCGAGTAAAAAGAGCTGGACTCACTGTATCATACTAAATGTGCAGGATGGTGCAAAGAGAAGATGGGCTGGAATGCAATGAGCACAGGGAACTCAGAGGCCATTAAAAATCTTTGAATATCTCCCACTGAAATATCTACACTGGAGTTTGAAGGCCTGTAAAGTCTTCTTTGAAGTCACAAAACCAAAAGATACACTCATCATTTTGCTGATCTCTGCTGTACCAGGTAGAAACTTAAAAAAAAGACATTTGAACAGGAAATATTTTTGGCCTGTTTTGAAATTCAGTGTCTCCAAGAATGGATATACTTATTCTTTATTCATGCTGCGGTCCACACAGATTCATGACTCAGCTATTTCTCACATGCACCAGTCAGACTTCCTTCAACCACTTGCAGATTAACTGTGTAGTGTACTCTAAGAGCAGAGAGGCTTCAACACGCAAGCAAGACAAAAGCCAGGACTAGATCTCTGCCTGCTGAGGACAACTAAATTAGATTAAATAGAATTGAACTAATGTAAAAATAAGATTTCAATTCATCCCTCTGGGTAGGGCTCGGCGATAAAACGATAACAATATACATCAAAAATGAATTTCCCTTGATATCGATATAAAACAGGGTCAATATCCTTTTATGATAGTCGGCATTCTGACATGTTTCGGTAGACTATGTGAAAAGCCAATGAAAAGGGGAGTTGCTCTGGGTCCGCTTTGCGCTGAACCAATCATGTGCTGAATTAGAACCAAGTAGCAAACAACTGCAGATAGTAGTAGCAGGCTGCAGCTACACACAACCATAGAATTTTAACACATGAAGCTGATAGCAATATCGGTGAGGAGAAAAGAAAATTAGTGCTACCCTTGGCAGAAATGCAGATGAAGGCTCAACAGACGGTGGTGTGGAGGTATTTTGATTTTTTAAGGTCCGACATGACGCATAGTAACGTGCACTGCAAATCATGCCGAGTACATGTTCTTACAAAGTCGGGGAATACCTCAATCTTTTTCACCACCTGAAGCAGTGCCACGCGGCAGAGCACACACAATGAAAAAGGTCACAAACCCCGAGCGGAGCAAGGAGCCCATGGCTGTGCAGCCGAAACAGCCGACCATTCAGTCTGCTTTCTCAAGCCCAATGCCTTACAACAAAACATTGAAGAGACACAAAGACCTCACAGATGCAGTAGCTTATTGTATTGCAAAAGACATTTCATTTTTTATATCGTAATATATATCGATATCGACAGACATGAAAAAACTATATTGTGATAAACTTTTTCCCATATCACTCAGCCCTATCTCTCGGTGATGAATATATAAACACATCAAATGGTCTACTCACACTCCTGAAAGTAGTCTACATGTATAATTATATTAGAACAACAGGCCTACATATAGGCGCTTACTTGGGATAACTCAGCTTCTTGGTCAATATTGCATGCACTGAAACATTTCATTATTTTTTATCTTTTCTCAAATGAGCTTATTTTCCATCCACACTTGAGGGATATCCTTTGAAAATGGCAAAAAAAAAAAAAGAAGCATCTTTAGTATTCACTGACTGAACCCTGAGCAATTTAAGAGGCTTTGAATTTTAACTGATAATGAAGTGATACTTCTCCACACTTTTATAACTTCATTTTTGCTTTGCCTTTTCCGGCTAGTCTGAAGAATCACTGCCTCAAATCTGAGACGCTTTCTTCTCATTATAGATGTGATTGTACTTCGGGGAGGTGTTTTTAGTACCATCGGAAAACTGTGCAACACATTGTGGTGTGATGCATTTTACAAATGAACTCATTTAATGGGCCTCGGTGTGCTACATGACATCATTGAGCTCTACATTGCCTCCTATTAGTCATCTGTTTTTATCAATTATTCATAATGTTTTGGGGCATAATTACCTGCTGGTGTTTAACTTTTATTAAATGGCCTCTCTTATAACACCGTATGGCGGTGTTTATTTCGGATGTGACACGCTGGATTGATGGCGACTCACCTCCCAGCAGATGGCTTGAATTTGTGCAAATAAGAGTTCAATGATATATTTTCATTGTAAATCTGTCCAAAAAAATATGCTGCAGATCCAACATGCTCAGTTTAATCTGTGGGCTGGAATTTGAACAAGAAAGCTAGCTCTGTTAAAACTGCAGACAAAATGGAATATTTGAATGAAATGTTCAACAAATTTTTAGCAACAGATAAAAGAGAGGATTTTGTTCTGTAGAGAAGATCTAGGCTTTGGGGAAAAGATGAATACGGAGTAAAAAGAGAGTTTTCCTGCCTTCTAAACACACAAAAAAAAAACAAAGAAAAGGTCAAAAATGTTAACTCACTGGAGGACGTGTGTGTTTTTGTTAGGGGAAATGAATGCACTTTACTTTTGGGCGTTTCTGCCCTGTTCATTTTAATCATTTGGACCTCTGAGGTTGCTTTTTCACATCATGCAGTTTTTTTTCCGCTTTACTTTCATGTTCAAAGCTTGAGTATAAGGAAGATTTTTGTTGAAAAGATATTACAAGCACACACAAACACACCTGAAACACACACACCCATCTGTCTAGCTGCTTTATACTCAAACACACCCTTTTTTTCCCCTTATTTCTTTTGTATTCATGCACACACATTTACACACCAACCTGCACTGACAGGTCATTTCACCACAATCTAACATAGCTGAGCACAGAGACCAGATGCTAAATATAGAAGTAAACCGAGCAGAATACCAACGACTCTCAAGACCATACAACACAGAGTGATGGGGGCGATGATTCAGACAAGGCAATAAGGCAAAGACAGGTTCAAGACCTGGAGGTGGTTCAGGGGAGGATTAAAATAGGTTTTAAAGAACAGGCTGAAGAAAGTTCATTTAATTGGAGTTATGCTTTTGCAAAGTCTTGGAGAATATAAAAAAGGTTAAAGCCAGACTACATCCGCTACTGAGTAAAATTAAGATCTTTCCAATACTAACAAAGAATGAAAAACAGTTCTTCCTAAGGAGTAGTGTGTAGTGAACAGGTGGTTATGAAAATCCATACGGGGTGAGCAAGACCCAGATATGAAGCTCTTTTCTTCTTGAGTTTGTGGTTGACAAGCCTTCAAACGTAAAAGAGGCAAGATGTCAGACCTTTTAAAATTGTTGCCCCTGTTATTACTGCATTTTTCTGTTACTTTACTGATTAGCAACATAAAGATGAACTCACCAGCCCTGCAGAACAGAGTGCTGTTCCCCTTTTGTTATATGGTCGCGGAACTGGTAATTCATCAGACTATTCTTACATATGTTGTTTTTTGCTGCGTCAGAAGCCCAGGCAGGCTGAAACTTACATTTGTGCCTCGATAGCCCTGTTTACATGGGCAAAATTTCCTGATCCGATTAAAAGTTTTAGGGATCAGATAATCTAAATCCATTGTTTATATGGGTGCGAAATCAAATAATCCGATCATGACGTGCGTATAGTTTTATTCAGATTAGCAGCATTTGGACACGCGCAGAGTTGTCTAATTTCACAAAAAGAACCCCAGAAAAAGAGTTGTATTGAAGCCTGTGCTATTAATAAACCAATAACCAACTCTATCCAACTCAGGATTTTCCCTGGTGTTAAATCTTGTTACAAGATGGCGACCTTGCTTACTTCTTTTACCGTTCTGTCAAAGGTTGCTCTGTGTGTGCAGATGTGACATCATTACGCTGTATGTACGCCTTGTTATGTTATCGGAGGAGCAGACACGGCACCACCTCCTGTAAACCTCTTGTACTGACTTCAATAAATAAACCAAAGGCTAAATAGTGAAGATCAAGTCAGGTAAGAGAGTGTTGACATGGACGCGTTTCGTAATAATGATCGGCATAAACTACCCCTCTCGATCGGAATACAATGTCTTTCCAATTGAACCAAACTGGATCAGAATCTTCCGATTGACATGTTTACATGATGCGTTTTTATTCCGATCGGGCCTTTACTACAATTATTTGCGCCCATGTAAAGCAGCTACTGATACCCAGCCTTTACCTTTTTGCCTCAGTGTCAACAGGTGGAGGGGGGATGTGCCCTCTGCTCACTGATTTGATATGATGCATGTGGTCATCGTCCCCAGCACTGCTCATACTAATAGGATTTAACATTAAATGCATCATGATCTCCCTGTAAACTGAAAGTGGCAAAGGCAAGAGTTAATCAGGACGGGGTTGACAGTTTCTGTTTTTACCAAAGTAGAGTTCAAACATCAGCTTTTGGACAGCATTAGCATTAATCTTTTGTTACCCTGCAGGTATCTTAGAGTTTAAAAAAAAAAACTTGATATTTAAGAGGAATAAGCCTCACTGTTGGGACTTTATCTCACCTTCAGAAAGTAGTTAGCCCGGAAGGCACTGGCATCAGGTAATTCAATGAGTCAGATTCAATCCCCTCAAATGGTGATACGACCCTGTCTTTTTTTCCCCCGGTCCTTTGAAATACAAATTTGACGCTACATTACAGGTTGTTTCATCATCATTTGTTGAGCCTTTGCTGACTACTTTTTCTCCACCTTTGCACATATGTGGCTTAGTTTTGCTTTACTAAATACACCCTGTAATCTGATGTGTCACAGTATCTACCAGGACTACATGTACTACATGCAGAATTCTAATCTAGGGCCCATGTGTTTTATGACGAAACTCGTGTGTGTGTGTGTGTGTGTGTGTGTGTGTGTGTGTGTGTGTGTGTGTGTGTGTGTGTGTGTGTGTGTGTGTGTGTGTGTCAAATCCTTATGCATACTTTAGGCAGTGACAGATGAAAGCCTGTCAGGATACCACAGGAGTTTCCCCAGTAATTCAGATTCCCCCTTTGAGATCTTGCAGTGGTTTGTACATAAATTGACTGTGTTTATGATACTTTCCCTAGTCTACTGACCACTCAGAGCACTTTTGTCCAGAGATCGAACCTCCAATCCAGACTGAGAAACAAATGACTCTACCACTGAGCCATCCCCCGATGAGGAAAAGCCGGAAGATTGGACTGGCCCCGAAAAAATGAAAAAGAGAGAGAGAGAGGGAAAAACCTGACAAGAACAATTTTGCATTTCATTGAGCACAAAGTCTTTGATCCATTCATTAAATTGAGGGGATTAAATCCCAGATTACAAATTAAAAAAACAGGGTTATAAATTTTCATGAGCATACTTTTTTTTTCCTATTCCCAAGACTTGCCAGGCTTAAGAGGTTGTAAAATTACAGATGGGATTTTTTTTTTGGTTTTACTTATTAAGAATGGACACACGTTACTTTCAGAAGGACCCTGCTTATAGCTGGTTCATAAACCCCACCCTGAAAGCATGCTGTAAATTAAAGCACTAGAATAGAGCCAGCAGTACTTGCCATAAAGGGCTTAAACGTAACAAATGATACATAATACACTTGAGTTTTATTGGAGTTATAGTAGGCTACGGAGAAAAGAAAATATGAGCTAAAAAAAGAGCTATAAAATTAGGAAAGCCAATTAAAGGAAGAAAATATAATGAACTTATAATTAAACAGTGCTGCTAGAGAAAATGTGTGCGTGTAAAACAGGGTTTCCTATCGTGAAGATAATAAATACCTTTCATGTCAAAACCGCCTTTGTTATGTGTGTGTTTATGTGTGTGTGTGGCTACTGCCAACCTGAACAAGCGTACAAAGAAGATCTGATACAGTTCGATGTTGCTGTCTCTGTTCATTCGTGTAAACTGTAAGGATGTGTGTGTGTGTGTGTGGGGGGGGGGGGGGAGGACAAAGTATCGTCTTTTTGGTTGTCATTAGAGGCGTTTGTTAGTCTTTGAGGAGTCACCTATGTGCTGAGCACCATGTTGGGCGTCTACAGAATGATCAGCCGTCTCACCAATGTGCCACATTCCTGTTTCATGTCTTTATGATGAGACGCCTTTGGGGCTCTGATGTGAGTAATGATTTCCTAATAACCTGCAGCTTGTTAGCTCAGCTGGCTGGAAAACCGACTGCCAAAGTGTCTGCACCTGTTTGATGTGTGTGAATGAGAATGTGACTGTGTGTGTGTGTGTGTGTGTGTGTGTGTGTGTGTGTGTGTGTGTGTGTGTGTGTGTGTGTGTGTGTGTGTGTGTGTGTGTGTGTGTTTCTATTTGTGTACCCCTTTCTAAAACACAAGACCACAGACTGTCAGTTTCCATTTGATGGCACTTTAATCTGCTTTGGATAAATTGTTAAAATACTGACATAATTTTTGCATCAGCGCTCACTATTCGAGGTGTCACAAGTGTTTTTCAGTATAGCCAAGAATTCACATTATGTTTCAACTTCTAGGTTTCTGCTCTCCATGGACACAATCAGGATATTGATGTCTTATTTTAAAAGATCTGGTGTTTACTCTGTATTACTGTTGAAGACTAAAATTAAATATTAATTTGAGAGGAGGAAAATCGCAGCAGGTTTAAATTCTTCAGTAGGAGGGGAGCTGTTTTAGGCTTTGAGTATCAAACTTGTGTTTATAGAAAGTGGCTCAAGGTAACCATTTTTGTATTGAACCTGCACTTAAAAAGAAGAAAAGTTCCTTTATTTTTGTGCTGGAAGTTTTTTACATCATTGCAACATCATCAACAAAATATCTCAGAAGTCAAAAACGATGTAAGAGCCTCTGAGAGTGATGGCTGGTCCTTTAGAGGTACGATGTGACCCAGGATATTAAAATAAAGTTCTTCTCACCAAGACTTCCTTTAATATGTGTGTCTATTTTTCTGCATTGGAACCCATTGACAATCACAGCCGAGTTACCAATTTGGTTATTCCACAGTGACCTGTAGATGTTGTTTTATGACTGCCTGCCAAGACTTCCTGTTTCATTGTTTCCTAATATTCCCCAGAGGTAACTCGTATTGATCTGTTCTGGGTGGGTATCAATCCAACAGTAGAGGTAAATCACACAAAGGCTTCAATATGGGTTACTCTGGGTGATATCAGAAATGTCTTGCGATTTAGTTGTTATTAATGTTTGCCTAAATGATGACATGATGATGCAGAGTGGTGAAAGATACCAACAAAAAAAGTGATAATTTGACATTGAGGTCTTTCCCATGAGAGGAAATAAACAAATTTAGAATTTCTGATTTAAAATGAATTCTTAGCTGCAGTTACATACAGATATTTGTTTATAGGAGCAGATCAACCATTTCTAGATTACTGCTAATGGGAGTAAGGTTGTTAAGTGTTACCCATGTGTTTTTGCGCTCTGTACAAGTGGATAATTCTGCATACACAAAAGTCTGCTGATGCATAATTGGCCAGAATTGGAAACCTGAATAAAACTGAAACACAAGTTAACCAATGCCAGGGCATGACTAATTTGGCTACAAATACAAACAATCACTAAAAAACGATCACTATGTTATGCTGATAATTAAAAAAATAGTAAAACGAAATGTACAAAATCGTAAAATTTAACTAGTTTTGCACATTAAAGAAACCAAAAAATCCTCCAATCTGTCAACTATAGTTGGGCCATTTTATTATTCTGTTGTATTTTGCATTGTCCAATAGTCCATAGTCCAAAAAGGATCAACTATGGTAGTTTTTTTGTGTATGGTATATAATGAAGTTTTCATTTATCTAGAGCAGCGTCTCATTTGAAGTTTTGCCTCTCAGAAATCGCACGTCTTTTTATGTGTCAGTACATTTATTGTGCTTGAGTTACATGCGTCATTACTGGAGCTGTCGGTGGTTATTTTGTTCACACTCCTCTGTTTCTTTCTCACTTGTGAGAAAAAAAAAAAATCTCTACGTTTTCAATGCGGTATAATGGGGTTGTTTTTGATGACAGGATAGGAACCCTGGGTTACACAGAGGACTGGATACGCAGGCTTGAACAAGAGAAAGGAAACCACTGCTGCCATATAACTGTAATCATGTAATACTTCTTGTCTTGTTTCTCTATCTTGCTTACAGATCTTCGGATCCACTTCCTCGGGCCGTTTCTCTTGTCAGTACATCTGCCACTCGACGCAATGAATCTTCATGTTGTGTTTTGATAGATCACAGCACACCAGATAGAGGTAGGCATGGTTTTGCATATTGCTTCAAATCTGCTGTTCGCTCCAACTTTTTAAACCTGTGCTAATTAAGGGATCCAAAAAATGGCCTCTGCTGGGAACTGTGACAAGGAGGTTGCAGTTATTTTGTTTTTAATTACATCTGAAACATACTTAAGCAGTTATTGCCAATTAAGTTCAATGATCTCCTTTGGGAAATAAGTTGGATATAAGACGTTTCATTATGTTTGATCTATATCTAAAAATATGCACATACAAAATACTCAGCTGTTTTTCAGACTGCTCTGCATTTACTATTAAATTCAGTCGTGCATGTATGTTAAATACGCTGTAATTGGTTCAGGTTATCAATAATCCGCTTGCAAAATATTCAGCTGTTTGCATGTGCCTGTCTGTGTGTATGAGAGAAAGAGAGAGAAAAACAGAGAGGGAGATAGTGGGTGAGTAAAAATGCACCCATGTGCCCACCTGCTTAATTTACCATAGTGATAGGAGGTTGAGTGCACTTATCCGTATGTGAATGTAAATGTGCTTCTCGTGTGTATCTACGGCTCTGTGTGTGTATATATGTCTGATGAGAGCAGAGCTGTGGTCCAATGGGGCCCTGCTCTGTTGCAGACATATTAGGAGAACTGTAAAAGCACAGAGGCTAGACAGGGTTACAGGCAGGCAGCAGTGCAGTGATGCTGTTTGGAAATCTGGTTATACAGGGGGATTGAGAAGTGGATAGATGGAAATAAATTCAGAAAAATAAAAGTCTACAAATGATGGCACTTTTCTGCTGAAGTTTTACAAAAGAGTCTCAAGGATGCTGTTATTTATTACCTCCGCCAAGGAGGTTATGTTTTCGGTAGCGTTGGTTTGTTTGTTTGTCTGTTAGCAACTTTACGGAGAAAGTAACAGACGCATTGTCTGCGGCGCAGTGGTACAGATAGGTGGCACAGTGGAGTAGTGGTTAGCGCTGTTGCCTCACAACCAGAGGGTCCTGGGTTCAAATCCTGATTAGGGCAATTCTTGTTTTAGGAACATTATGAACAGTGAACATACCAGTTTAAACACAAATAAACGTTAATAAAAGACATGTAACAGTAAAAGTTTTGGTGTGAATCACAATATAAGGGGGGACATGAGCTGCTTGGCGGAGGTCTGCGCTCTCCGAGTGCTTTTCTAGTTCTTTCTTTAATCTATATGCTTCGGTTTGAGGGAAGATACATTCTTTCTGAATACTCCAGTTCTCTGCTTTGCTGCTATAACCCATGAGACAGATGTTCTGTTCTGTTCCGTCGCAAATCGTTGCAAATCGAACAAAATAAACTGAAGAGAAATAAAGTTATCATATATAAACCCTTGGGGAGGGAACCCAACATGCTTGTGTTTGCTTGCTAAAACTAATCAAACTACTCAGTTACTGGTGGCACAAGCTGGTACAATCAATGGCTCAGTACAGTCAGTGAACACTTGTTGAACTCTGACAAAAACAAATGTTACAAATGATCTTTCCGTGGTTTGCATGTAGTGAAACTAATGTGAAATCAGATTTTTTCTCTATCTTTTTGGACAAAAAGCCAAAAGAGAGGGGTTCTTTTTTCTAAAGCTGTGCGGTTGCTTCTCCTGTTCGCCACAAACCTGCCCAATTGTACTTGTTTGGATGAGCATACTAATGTGCAAGTTATCCAGACTGATGTGGTCCGGCCTGTTCATCATGGAAATGTTTGCAGTGGAAATATTATCATAAATTTCTGCCACATTTTCCCACATTATGTGTGCCTGATTTGCAGAAATGGCTGAGTAAGAATCACTAAATTGGATCCTCAGTGCTCTAATTTGTCAAAAAGACAAACTGGAGTCAGATTTAGTAAAAAATACTGCCAAAGATAAGCTGTAAAGCATTGAGAGAATTTTTCAGTCTAACTGTAGCTCTGTGATGATCTGCCATACATTTAGTCAAACCGCCATCCCACTTTTCAGAGTTTTTGGTGAAGTATTGCTAAAACTGCCAGTTCAACCATTCAAATACTGGAATGAATACAAGTGAAAAAAGCAATTATAGCACATTGAAAAGCATAATCCAGACACTCTTTGAGATATTTTTTTTCAAAAGCACAAAAAGTTTGGTCGTGTCATCCATATGCATCTACTGGCAGCTACCCAAAGAACTGTCATGGAGACAGCCCTGACTACCAGTCAAAGCACTAACACTCCCCAAATATTTTCATGCAGTGTTGGTGTTAAAGACATTTTATTCAAGGAGGCTTCAGCCAACTGCTGAACCATAGATACAGAAGTAATAACAGACCAGCTTCTGACCTGGCTGTGGCACAGAGGACCAGTCTTTACCCTTGAAGGGTTACTGAATGGGTCCTACTCATCTAGACTATGCATGTCTTATAGACTAGAAGAAGCCCGTTGATAATATCCTCTCTTGGTCCAGGGTGAGTCATTGGGGTATTGAAGCTTACTACCAAACTTCACGTCCCGTGTCTGTGTGTCAGCACTAAGCCTATCACACTCCTTATTAGTGTTGGCCTTTGTCAGTGTTGTCACTTGTCAATGATTCTATTAGTGATTTCCATGGACAGGATTTCAAGGCATTGCTGGGGGGGAGAGAAGTGTATGATTCGGGGGTCTCAAAACAACATCTCTACTTTTGGAAGAAGATGATGTGACTGATGGATCCATCAAAATCTGACCCCCAGCAGTATTTTGGAAAACTTGCAGAGAAAATAGAAGCAGCTGAGGGGGACAGTCAGTGCCTCCAAGTCTGGGATTGTCCCTCCAGGTTGATAGTGGGTTACTGTCTAAAGTCATGGAGTAGAAGTATCTGGGAGGGATATTTGTTAGTGACGTTTACATGGATAGTGAGATTGACCTCCATCTTGTGGAGGTGTTTTGGACATCAACTGGAGATGGACTCTGGAGCAGACACAAAGCTTATGTGGTAACATTTCTAATATGTCCAGGGACTGACAGCTCATCTCTCATTACTTTAGATGAGGCATCTGGGTTCGATTTAGACTTGGGGTTTGGGTAGGACTTTGAGGCTTTATTTGAAATGAAACAATGGAATGTTGGACAAAGTGAGGTGGAGTTGTGTGCATGTTAGCAGGCAAGTAAAACAAAGACTGCATGCACAGTGGTCAGTTGGCTGAGGAATATAGTGACAGGGTTCACAGGCCTCTTCTTGTATTACCTCTACAGTTTCCAATTCAACATGGAAGTAGAAGAGCAGCGTCTTAATATTTAATCTTCAACATACAAGGTGACTTTTTTCCATTGGGATTTGTCAATGCTGGAAAAAAAATGTGTTGCCTGGTGTTAGAAATTTCAAAATACATAATAAAGGTGGATTTGTTGCCTGACCTTCACTTTCCAAACAAAGATGACTTTTTTTTTAAATTAGTTTTTCCAGATGTCCAGTTTAGAGTAGTTTCGTGCCTTGAAAGACATTTGTGTTTCCATGGAGAACTCACAATTTTCCCTAAAAGTTGAAATCGGTGCTTCACTGATAATTATTTGTGGTTTTAAACGTTCAGTGTTTGACTCAGTGAGAA